CCCCCCCCGCACCCTCACCCCCACCCCCACCCTCACCCACACCCGCACCCCCACCCCCACCCCCACCCACACCCTCACCCACACCCACACCCACACCCACACCCACACCTACACCCACACCCACACCCACACCCACACCCACACCCACACACCCACATCCACACCCACATGCACACCCACACCCACACCCACACACCCACATCCACACCCACATGCACACCCACACCTAGGCATGCACCCAAACCGTTTGGGTTGTTTTTACCTAAGTGAAGAAAAATCTCTTTATCTACTGAATAATAGGACACAAGATTTTTCCATCAGTAAAAAATAAAACTACAGATGTGACACTACAAAATACCAAAAGAGATATTTCGGTAGCGTTGTTACACTATTTGCTAGAGTCAATCAAAAAACCCAATCCCAATGAGTTTGGGTTTGGGTTTGGAGGGTGGTTCAATTTCCTTTCAATCTGTTATTTCAACAAACAGTTCATTTGATCATTCTCCGTTCAGTTGTCAAAGGCAGACTTCCTTCTATATTAATGGCGCAACAATTTGTTAATATAGTTCATAATCAGTAAAATAAATTCGAAATATTCAAATGCCGTTATTGATTTTTGGTACATGCCTATCCACACCCACACCCTTATCAAGAGCCGCTTCGAATTGTTGCGACTCATCGAATAATAGTCAACAGTCGAGATCTGCTGAGTTTGAATAGGAACTAACAGTGGCTAAGAACTGAGAAATATTTTGAAATAAAGTGTGAAAACCGCTTTTCTGCAGATACACAAAATTTTATTAATTCATATGACGAAAAACGTCACTCAAGGAATCCATATTCGCTGTATCGGAACTAGGTATGAATGAAATAAAAGGGAGTTTTTGTGTTAGTGTATGTTATTGTCTACGTTCATTCACACGTGGGAATGCATACAGACATATTTACACTATTTTTTTAGTTTAATAAATACCCGGAGTACGAGATTCTTTCAAGCATGGCATTCTGATTCCAGATCAGCTATAATATGATTTCTTTTAAGTTAGAAGCTCAGCTAAGATCCTATTTTTCTAGCAGACGCTCCAGTAAACAATACTGTTAGCAGATGTGCTGATACGCATACTACTTTCTAGTAGAACTTTTAAAAGTATGACGCATTTTACTTTGTGATCTTTGAAAAAATGAAATATAATCTCTTGTTGTGAATGCGTGCTGATACTGCTGCCATAGTGTAGTTCCTTAAATTTCAGTTGAGTATTAATGTATGGATATCAATTTGATTAGATGAATTGATGACAAAAATGATCACATGGACCTGCATATCATTGTCGATAACGATAACGAAACTGACGCTGAAATAAACGTCTACACAAGTATCCATCCATTTGAAACGTTGGTTACTAGCTTTGTTGAAGATTATGAAGCAGTATATAGCAGTAAAGGAGCCGAATATTCAGTCGAGGGTCAAGCGAGTCACATGGACGAGCGTTACTTGCTTTATCTGCTATTTACCCGCACCCGCACTCACAATCCGCAGCCTTCTGTTGGTTGGTTGATTACAATTTAAAAACCACTTCCCGTCATATATATTACATATTTTCCATGATCTGTCGTTTTGTTCTGTTCAACTTTTTCAACTTTAAATACAAAATTAGCGGTCAAAATTACTTCCTCTTCATCGGGATAGAGCGAGATAGAAGAAATATCACGTCTACGTTGAAAAGAATTTTACTTAACTGCAATGATGAACAGTGCATTTCCACAGAACATTTCAGCTACAGCACGACTTTTTGACGTCGACGTGAATCCCCTCCAAACAATTTGCTTCCCAACTGCTTCTATATACTCGCTAGTCATTTCTTCAGTCAGTGTTGCCCCATGGTAGACAATAAACTGTTCGCCATATATTACACTGTTCTGAGCAATATGACTGTTCAACAACCAAGTGATTGGGCCCAGAGTGTGTGATTTACTGACATCTTCATTTCTCAAACTCTCATTTAATAAGGCAAAGAGAAACGACGCAGCTGAATAGATACGAACAGCACATTTGAATATTTCTTCTTTGTTTTCTTCACAATTTCTGAGTTGATCAGCCATTCGTTGTGCATCGATTTCTTTTTTTAGTAGTTTACCTTCGATTAAAATGCCTAAAGAAAGAGATACAGAATTTTGAAAATTAATTATGAATGAGAACGTCTTCTTAGTTACCTTGTGCAGCTAGTTCAGCAACAACAGATGAATTATCTCGTATCGTCACGTTTTTATTGCGCCATTCATCAAGCAATGGAGCCTTGTACCATTCTTGACCGGGAGTAAAGGATTTAGGTGTTGGTCGTTCAGTGTTAGAAGAAAATCTTTCATTACGAACGTAACTTTTTCTGTCAACTGATTCACGTTTCACTGATGTACCATGCTCTTTCTTATCTTTCTGAAATTGAATTTTGCTTTTCAAGTCAATAATACAATCATTCACTTGAACATTTTCTTCATGACGACAATAAGCTTCTTCGATGTAATCTGATTCAAAATCAGAGTAACACTTCCATGCTCCTCTTTCTTTACTATCGACTGATGTTGGGTCGGACTGGTAGAGCCAAATTATTCGCTGGTTATTGTTATTTGAGGAGTATGAAGTCATTACTACTGAGACGTCTTGTATGAAAAAATGGAGAGAACTGATCAAAGTAAACCAAAATCACCTTATTTTGTAAGCAAATATACAGAAGTTGTTTTCGCAACGTCGGATGAAAATAAAATAAAATTTCACATTCTATCAAACAGAACGGGTGAAAAAAAATGTAATTTCAACTTTTTAAAATTCAATTTACATTATAAGGAACGAATGTAAAATAATGTAATCGTCGCAAACATCCACAAAAGGGTATGGGTGTGGGTGTCGGTTTTCTTTTACTGCAGACAACAGACACACACCCACACCCTCTATGATGCCCTGCATCTCATGATAAAAACTAGTGACACGTTCCATTTTCATATCAAAAATTAGTCTTGAGGAAAATCTTAAAGACTCTTATTTATTATCATTATTCTTTCATCTTTATCTCTTTTATAGTGCCTATCATGATTGAATATATCGAACAAATATTAATCAATAAATAAAATAAAACATTTCATATTTAAACTGATGCTCTTCCTACGCACGCAAATATCTTTCATTTTCAGTGTTATCATCATTAAAATCTGTTTGTTTTGTTAATGATGTAATTGATTATTTTCTTGAACAACTTCGAATAATTTTTCACTATATCAACGTTTCAATTAATTTATTATTCTGAATATATCATAAATTTAAAATAAAAACAGGTTTATTGTTTTTTTTATATGGTTTGATACAGAAACAATACAATTGAGAAGTTCCAGAAGGAATTTTTCGATGAAAGATTATTGATTGATTTACAAATCATCAAAAATTGAAAATATCTAAATTTTAACAGATAATGCCTTTTTATACATGTATATATTCAAAATGTTGATTATACTTAAAATAATAGCAAGTGTTTTAGAATTTTTTTTATTTGTCAATATTATTAAAACTATCATTTACATTTTTATGTCCAAGACAGTCGATAAGAATTTAAAGAGTTATTTTGAAATTCTACAGTCTTGTGGAAAATTAATTATTTTTTGAAAAAGAATTCTTGTATTCTAAAATAGTGAGATTTTATTGAATACCTTACAAGACTAATAATATCGTATTAACGTCTCTGCCAAAATAGACATCAATCATAATGCATATTTTCATACATTTATCTGAAATATCATTTTGTTCAAACAGAGATCGAACAGTTAAAATTCAATGTTTTCTTCTTTCTCGTTTTCAGATCAAGATTACCAAAAAAAATAAAAATCATTAAAAAAAGTTATGTAGGTATGCTGGTGTCTGTTCATTGTCTTTCGATTTGATCGACATATTTACACCACTAAATACAAAATACCAAAACTATCCACACACCATTACATATCATCTTAGGTTTGCTGGATTAGATACGGAATATGTGTCATTTATTTTTTTATAACTTTAGTATCATTAGGAATCGTAAAAAAATAGTGTCATAATTTAGGAAAATTCTTTTTCGTCTTGTTTAACGGATGGTGCTAAAGTTATACATTAATTTTATTTATTCCATATCTCTGTGTAGAAACATTGTAGAGAGTCAAACTTTTTTGAAAGGTAGTCTATGATTTCTTCTACAAACACTGTTTTGAAAGTATTTTACTTGAACCTATTGGTTTTAATTTAAGTACTTATTCCATTAACTGACTAAAAGACATGTTTGCTACATGAAAACGGACATAAAATTGCGATTGATTTTATGGTTTATCAATTTGTGATCAGAAATCTAGTTGTGTAGGTTGATGACCGTTCACGAACACTATAAAATAGTATATAAACATTCCTCCTTATCTAATATGTTTTACAAAAAACAATTACCTGGTTGATTTAAGCTCGAGATTTTCATGGCTAATCTATAAAATCATGTTAGAAGATTGTTTTTGAAACATCTAGTGGCTAAACTGTACTAATTGTTCGAGATAACAAAAATTGTGATGTTAACATTGATGATTTTGCCAAACTTAACGACGTAAAAGATTTTCGTATCCTTAGACAAGTGAAGTTAAGTTTTTTTCCAAGATACGATCGACAGCATTTTGAATATACTAACCTCTCATACATATATTTGAATTTGAAACACTCTCTTGTTCGGGACAAGAAAAATCAAAGCGTATTTTTTCAAAAAGGGTGCGGGGGGCTCTTTCAGTCGATAGAAATGTTATATCTATAACAGCACTTTAGTATACATATCCTGACCCCTCCCTCAATTATACAAGACCCCCTGTTATATCACGTTCAAGCATCAAAAGTTTCAGAAATAGTCTTCTTATATGGAACAGATTTTCTATCACGGTGTAGATTGTGGGTGTGAGTGGATGTAGATACTCTTTATATCCACGCTCACACATCCACACCCACATCAAGTTAGACAGTACTACCAACAGGAAATAGTTTCTGTTTGTCGTCAAATTTAATCATAAATGAATGACATTTGATAGTTTTGTGAAGATAAGTTTTAATAATGAGTGAAGTAGAGTTTCTCTTTGACTGTACGGCATTTAAATTAAATAATATGTTCTTATAATTGGAAATCGTCGATTGTTTTATGAATAATGCATACTAAAATTGTGTAATCAAAGTTTGTTTCGATCGATAATTATATGGATATTTTTGTTTCTCAACATTTACGAAAGAACTCTAGTCAAACGTTCACTTTTTACAGAATTAGGAAGTATCTATGATACTTCTTGAAGTAATTGTACTAAATAAAATAACTTATGAGACTAGAATTCTATTTTGAAACAACTTTTTATATTCATTGTTCATGAAGAAAAAAAAGCATCATTTTCTCACTCAATCATTAAATAATTTATGTAAACGAAATCGAAACTTCATAGATAAACTATGATGGTGAACTTTCTAAAAGAATTAAAACAAGGTAGTTGTGAAGTCTCAGAAAACTTTGTTTAAGCTAATTCTTTACAATGCGAGTATAAAAAGTACAATATTCCATAAACTCCAAAAAAAAAGTTTGTTGCTGACTTTTTAGACATTTCGTTGTCTTTACGACTTTTATGATTATTTTAATGTTTTGAGTGAAGGTCGTAGAAAATGCCATGATTTCTAAGTTTGCTCTTTTTAAAAATGGCAATGTTTTAAAAAAATCTAACTAAAACAAAATCTTCTAACACCAGAAAAATACGTCGTCCATTTTTCCGAAAGCTAACAGTCATAGTTTATTCATGAAATTTTTATATAGAAGGCATTAGATAGAAACCTTCATCAGTTATTAAAATCAATATCGTATCATGATCTAGATGCGTAGTATCATAGAAAAAAAAATTTCTTGCTAAACTTTTCTCCACCATTTAAAGCACAACACAATGTTTATCTTCTTTTCGAGGATATTTGCTATAGCCATGAAGTTGATCTGAACGGAGGTCGATTGAACATACAAAGATTCTTCATAAATCATTTACTTCGACTAAGTCGATAAAAGCGTATTCAAACAATACAATTATCAGTATCAAGTTTTCCAAGGAATGAATTTTAGTCTTAAAGTACCTCTTCTCATTAGAAATTAGATAGACTGTTGTTATTATATGGTCAAATACGAAAATTGCAAACCAATGCAGATTTGACAAGTAGCTTGTTAATTTTAAAAATCTTTAGACTTTTGAAAAAGTAAATCTTCCTCATAAACAAGCCGGTTTCAGAAACTTTTCGAAAAAAGTGTGGAATTTATTTTAATTCAAAAGAAATTCATTTTATAAATTTCACGAATATTATTTCTTCAGTCGAAAATCTATTTGCAACCGAAAACTGGTATTGACTATGTTCGTCTATAGAATACACCTTTCTTATCTTTAGACTAGGAAATTCAAAAAAAAGCGTTTTAATAAAAGAAAAAAACAGTTTTTTAACGACGATGATTGTTTATATATGAATAGAGATGAAAATTAACAAGTAAAAAAATAATAAGCAAACAATAACAAAAGAAATGAATGGAAAAATATTAATGAGACGTGTTATGTGAAATTTTAAAATCAATGATATGAACATGTGATATAGAAAAAAAGCATTAATGTTATTGTTTACACGTCAAAAAGTTTTTCAATTTCATTTTTTATAATGTCAAAAAGTGATGATTGATCTGATTGTCCTTGTGAAACATTAGAAATTGATGGTTGATCTGATTCAGCTGATTGATCATTTGAAACATGAGAAACTGATGATTCATTTAATTCATCTGATTTATTTGATTCATCTGATTCATCTAATGGATACCATGAATCCAGCTTTTCTATTAAATTCAATAAATTTGAATAATGATTATTTGTACGTCGAGTATCTTTCCTTAATTGCAATGATTTTAATACTAATTCATTAACGTCTTGTAAATATCTAAATGAATCAATACTTCGTTTCATATCAGCATTATTCATAGCCATTATAATATTTAAGGCACATATTAAATCAAAAGTACGTTCATAGAAATAATATGGGAACACTTGGCCTTTTAATAATTTTGAATAGAAATTTAAAAATGATTCACTAGCAAACGCAAGTGGACCAACTATATCTATGCTGCCTCCCTTGTTATCCGTATTAAATGCAAATGCAAAACCAAAATCAATTAATTTTATATGATTACTATCACGATCTAACATTAAATTTTGTAGACGTACATCACGATGAACAATACGACAATCATATAAATAAGAAATTATATCAATAAGTTGTTTCGATTGTATCAATGATAATGATTCTATACATTGTAATTGTTTTTCATAGAATAAATATTTATCTGAATACAAACAATAAAAAATTTAGAAATAGTATAAAATATTATTTCAATCATAGGTAAATTGAGATGTAGTCTTGTGCGGAAACAAATCACTTGCGTCAAAATATTCTTTTTATTAATTATTTCATCTAAACTGCGAACGAATAGTTACTTAATAGAATTCTCAAGATTAGATATGTTTTTAGTTGAGTTCAGACTGAAAGCAAGTTTGTTCTAGTAAACATCATTTTCAAAATTTTCTCTTTGTGTTATCTATCTCGTTTATCAAACAATAGTTTTGAAATCTTTAGTTTTTCCTATCATAGTAAATAATATCGTTAATGAAATTGATCGATGCTACCTTAACATTTTACAAAAATAATTGGACGAAAATTTTACTAATGTAATTTAATTTTAATTTATTCAAGTAAAAAGTATTGTTTTGGTTAAAAAGATAAACGGGTTATTTAAAAATTCAACTTTTACAATGAGTTTCGTTAATATATAATATATTTTTTTCTTGCAAACCTCTACTTCTATTTATTTATCCTCTCTTTTCTTACATGGACATAAAAGACTAGAAATATATGAATAAAGAATTGGGCATACATACTTACGCAGTACTTACGTATATACATTATCCCTATATCCTTTTGTTGTAACTCTCATGCTTATATCCTTAACCCTAGTGCGTTACGTCTATACCATTAGTCATATAGCTTTATATCTATCATATTACGTCTATATGCTACACACTTATCCTATTGATATATATCAATACTCTTATTTCTATCGGATTGCCAACATACTCTTCTATATATACTATTACTCTAAGTCCAGAAACATCTGTTCAAAAACAAAACCTTTGATTAATCAATGGAAAGACAAAGACTTTTCTTAAGAAAGATAATACTCGGCATTTGTTTTTAAGGTTGATAATAAGGGATCATATGAAAAGAAAAAGAGACGGTGATAAAAATAAAGTTCAAGCTGTTGTCTATATCACTCCTGAAGAATGTTTGATGAAAATGAAAGAACTATTCGGAGCATCTTTTTGTTTTTGAATAAATATTATTCATTAGAACTACTATAGAGAAAAAGAAAAACATTAAGCAAAACCGATTCAATTAAGTTTCTTTTGACATATCAATTTATCTATAGTTTCTAAAGAAAATAACTAATATCATGTATTTCAATCGGACTATATTTATATTTGTATTTTTTCTTACACAACTATTCATTTATTTCTCAATATTAAAATAGATTCTACTGTATATTACTCATCAAATTCATTTCTATAACACGATCTATTTAAATAGTATAATTTTGAATCTAATACTTGGAAATGTTAGCAGAGTTTATTTCCTACAGCCGTATTTTTACTCGAAATATTTCACTACAAGCAAAAGACTATTGCTGATGAACGCGTTTATACAATAGTTTTAGATGATATTTTTAACTAAAACTAACATACCGTCGATAAAGTAACATTACCAAAAGCATTATAAATAAATACCGATGCATTTGAACATGTTGAAACTAAAACCCAACACGTTTAGCCACAAAAATTCTATATTTTTCTGTGAAAACTGACTTTGAAGTACTAATCCTTATAATCTGTTGTTCTTGAGTAGTAATAATATGTTTTATCGAGCTTTCACTTATCTTCTAATGATAAAAATAAAGAATGGTCTCTTTTTTTTCAACTAATCTTATTCGAAATGATGATTGTTTTCTGTTATTTTTTACAACAAATATTTTATTAAACATCATTATTCTTGTTTAAAATGTTGCTTCAATCTATATGTATTTTCATCTAAGAGAAAACCTTATAGTTTTATTCTGAAATTACAATATCAAGCATCGTCTGATGATTTTATATCTTACAATTATATACATATATGTACATGAAAATAAACTTGCATAATTATTCTTATTTGCCTTGTTCTATATACTTGAAAAAGATCTAAAAACCAAAACTAAGTCTTATATTCAATCGATTGCAATCATCTAGATATTTATCTTTGTACTCTTTTAATATATCACCAAAAAGAAAAAAAAAGCATTCATTTCATTCGAAGTCATCTTGTTCAAACAAATTACATTGAAGAATTATAAATTCAACATTATTTTTTATGACAATTTTTGAATCTATAGAAAAAGTCAAAAGACAAATGCTTTACCTGAAGATAATGGATATAGAATATCTTGAAAAAATAAATGAAATTTATTTAAATCATTAAATTCTTTTAATTTTTTTGCCATTTCAATTTCTTGTCGAAAACATTTTGAAAATTTATTATCTTTTAATACTTTCATTACATAATGTGGCGAATCTTCAACTGAATGATTATCTTTATATCTTTCTAATAAATAAACCATCGATGATACACCAAATCCTAATTTTTTTGTTATCATATATCGATTACCAAGTAAATCATCATTAGGATCTATATTTAATCTTTTATATTGATAAAAGTCAATATTCATTGTTAAAAAATTTGTAAATATTTTCCATGTATCTTTATTAACACCTAATTTTCTTGTATTTTCAGTTGTTGTTGTTGACGTATCAATAGATGATAATACTTCGAATGAATTAGTAAACATTTCTAATTCTTGACTTTGAAAAAATTCATACGAATCCGAATCGGATTTCTTTTTCACATAAAAAAATTTGATGTGTGTATAATTACTGATAAAACCATATATCATTTCACGATGTTGCACTGCCAATATAATTTTCAAATATAATAATATTTCTTCATTCATTGAATTTATCGATAAAGAAACGTATGGAGATATTAAATTACCAAGACAAACAACAAAATCTTGTAAACATGATTTTTCTTGATCAATATCGATATTTATATTTTTATATATAAATGTACAATGAGGATTAAACTTATCTTTTAAATAATATGAAGAAGATGTATTTAAATATTTCAATGATGTAGAATTATTCAATGTATTTAATAAATTAACAATTAATTGATCAAATCCTTTTTGAATTTCTTCTTCATTTAATTTAGGATACGATGAAAATTGATCTAAATAATGTTCAATATAATTTAATATATTATCATTAAAGTAATTATTGTCATTTAATACTGCATTAATATCGAACGATTGCAAATCATCGGGTACATCGATCTGGTGAAAGCAATCATCAGATGTAGATATATTACGATGTCTTTTAGTTGATGATGAATCGGATTCACTGTCTAGCTTCCGTCTTTTTCTTCGGTAAGTCTCATGCATTTGTTGCTGTTTTTCTTTTTCGATTTGTCTCTTCAATTGATTTGTACATTTTATTGTTTCAAGTTGACGATCCAATTGTTCATTTAGACGTTTGTATATTTCAAGTTCACGATCCAATCTATCATTTTTACGATCCATTTTTTTCATTTCATATTGATATATTGCTTCTTGAATTTGTTGCATATCCTGAGCTTCATGCTTCATTTTTTCGATTTCATCTCTATGTTTTGTTTCCTCGATCAGTTCAATTTCTTCCGCTTCACGTTTTATTTTTTCGATTTCATCTTTAAGTTGTGCGACTAGTTGTTCTGCTTTTTCTTCCTCGTTAAGTTGTTTTTGTAACAATTTTTGTATAGTTTCTTCTTCATCATTATTTGTAGCCATAGTTGTATAGTGTTTTTAATTTTTATCTACAAGAAAAATAGAAAAGATATTTCATGAACCAAAATCAAGAAGAAGACACAGTCGAGTGATCCCAGTCAGATAAGATTGAATGGCGAAGTGACTGTAATGCGCAGGTTAGTGTAACGAACAAGAGTAGAGGTGGAGATGTTATAGTTCGTTATTACAGCAGTATATATTTTATTATAATTAACATTGACAAACTGGAAGAGTAGCGTTACCACCACCCTCGGTATAAATGTTCACTATACTACTCCATCACACCAGTTGTATAGTTTTCGCATAGAATACAAGCCTATATAGGAGAGAGAAAAATGGACAATGGGAAAAAAATGAGGAGAGGAAACGATGACTACAGAATAGACTGAATAGTTTAGTAGCATCGGTCACGGCGGCCACTAATTCAAAGTATCTAGCCGTGTGATTGACCGATAGAACGTTAACTAAAGGTCGTGCCAGTATTGTTGGCAGAGTCAGCTAATATATAATTCGCAATTGACGATAGTTATATAAGATCATTGAAAAGAATAGAATCAACCGGACGGCCAACTTCAGTCAACTATTGTTCCCTGTAATAGCCGAAAACAATCAATGATTTGGGGCATTGTGATAATCATTGGATATCAAAAAAATTATAGAGGCATAACCAAATTATTAAATTTCTTATATGGTTTTCGAAATGAGGCTTTGATCTATTTATTATTATATAGGATATACTGATCTGATGTACTAATTGTAAAGAAATTCAAATAATAGATTAAAATACCATAGGCTAATTTCTAACCAATCATAGATATATCGTAAAGTGTGCGTGTGGGTATAAGTCTCTCTCATGTCCACACACCCATACCCTTCTCAGATAAACTTTTGACAATACAAATCTGAAAACACTAACTAGTACTCAGTTGGCAAACTGTAAAATTTTAAAAATCAAGACTGATAAGCTATGCATTTTCGAAATAAGAAGTCAGATCTGTTGAATTTGTAAGATATTACAGGATATTTCTCGAGATTCTCAAGCTGTTGAGGTATATTAGAAAGTTTTTCAAAAGCAAATTTCAAGAAAAATTTTCTAAACAATATTTCGAATATTCTGTACAAAACTCTTTTCAATTAGACGTCTGATAATGTTTGTTCTTATTTTGGAGCAACCTAAATATTTTCTTTGTTCAGTTTAACTTTGACATCATTTTTTTCAGACTTAAATTCTGTAAAAGACGGCATGATAGATAATTTTCATAGTGCGCATTTAAATTTCAAAGTAATGCTTTTGTGAGCACATCTTGAAAATATTGGGTGTGGATGTGTTGGTGTGGGGTGTGTAGATACTGTTCCGGCGTGACAAACAGCACTACCCATATGGAAGGAAACAGCACATCCACACCCTCATATCTATTTTTGAAAGTGACGTATCAATTGATGAAAAAGTCATTTTGAATTGATTATGTGAGAAAATAAATCAACATAGATCATGAGAAAATCTCGATGATATATCCAAACTCGATTAGATTGAAAGTATATAACTGTAAAAATGTTTCTCTTAGATTTCCAATAATTTTGAAAAAGCTTCTCCCTCTATTTAATCTATTTTTAAAATTTCAAATAATATTTTCTTTTTTCAATCGGATAAATGAAATATTAGTCTGAAATATTTAAATTTTAGAAATTTACTTATACGATTATCTCTTCCTATAGAATTTAGTACGGATATCAATGTTACATGCTTTTGTACTTTGTATTCATGTTCCATTATTATGACGTATATCAACATGTGCATTAACCAAAAAATATGATCTATATTTTTTTTTTATTGTGTCAACATAATGATTAATATCAAATGAAATAAATTAAATTAATCATGATGAATAAACATCAGTGTAAAGTTATACTAAAAGTTTATGATTCGGTTTAATTGCTTATAACTATATTTAGTAATATTAATAGATTTTATAATATTTATTTTCATACACTATAAAATAACTTTGATTAACATGGCAACGTTTCATGTGGTTCTATATAGATGATCTATTATGTTTTATCTTATTTAAATATGTAAAAAGAATCATTTCTTAGCGGAAATTTAATGGAAAGTTTTTTTTTCGTTTACCAAAAACTAGATGATCAATATTTGAATATGTTTATCAATGTGATTGTCTTATTATAATTATATATTTAAATATAATTCCACTAGATACTCAATCGATTAAGACAATTATTCACTTGACATCATTTAATGATCTACATCGTTTTTGTTATTTAACAAAAAAAACAATAACAAAGATTAAGTATATACTCGATTTTTATTGATATCTTTTAACATTGTTTAATTATTTTGTTTTCTAATATTTAATTCATTTATATGCATACCAAAACAATTTGAAGAATATATACACAATATACAATTTGGTTTAAATAATTATTTNCAGCGTTGAATGGAGTAAAATGAATAGCTTACAATAACTTTCATTTTACTCAAATGTCCGTCGAGTCGAGTCGAGTCGAGTGAATATTGAAGTTGGGTCGAGTCGAGTCGAGTCGAGTTAGGTTTTTTCAAATGTCTGTCGAGTCGAATCGAATCGAGTGAATACTTAAGTCGAGTCGAGTCGAGTCGAATCAGATTTTTTTGACTCGTTTCGGTCTCTGTTTCGAGCTGAAATTTCATCCACAAATAGGCATATTAGTGAGCAAAATATCCTGAATATTTCGGCTCAAATATATCTTTCCTTTCCGAGATATTAAAATCCCAAAAAGAAGAAGATTCTAGTTTTTTTCGTGAGGTATGAGTTATCTTTGGGATTATAATATCTGGGAAAGAAAAAGTTTTTAAGCTGAGATTTTCAGGATATGTTGCTCACTAATGGGCCTATTCGTGGGTAAAATCTCACCCCGAAATACTGTCATTCGACTTGTTGGTGTGTACCGTACTATGGGATAAAATTGCAGTAAAGTGTCCATAACTCTGAAGAGAAGGTCTAAGAGCCTTTCTCATGCCCATATTCGAAAACAGCCTAGTCAATAACCCATAACCCAGTAGGTTTCAGCAAAAAAGCGATTGGACACTTGAAAATATTCCCGCGTCAGATCTGTTACAGGAAATATGTTTTGAAAGAATCTGTCCGGCAGAAAACTCATTTTTGATGCAACAAACCCATGCACGTCGAGTGACCTAAGATAAGGTGAAGGGCAAAAAAATCATTATAGCAATACCATATACATCATCTTTGCAAGTTTTGAAGACTCACTCTCGCCTGTTTAATCTGCACAAGGACGCGTTTGTCCTGAAATGAAAAAGAAAAAGAGACTGACTGCTTTTTTTGAGCACAATAACAATCGATTGTTTTTCTCTCTCCCACTGTTTGTATACAAAATAAATTCGATTTTTCGAAGTAGAAAAGAGCTCGTTGACACTTTATTGGCTTGCTGGGTGGTTGATGGGAGTGTGGGTGGATTTGTGTGTGGGACTGGGGGTGGGGTGTGCGTGAGTGGTGTGGGTGTGGTTGCGGGTGGAAGTCTAAAGGAATAAACACATCGAAAACCCACACCGATACGCATAGGCACACTCACCCATGCACACCTTACACCCACACCCACATCCTACATGAATTCTAGAATTCTAGGTTTTCCCCAGGTATACATGTTGTTATATAGATACATGGACTCGATACAAGGTGGTACATAGCGACACAAGGTGATACAAAAGGCACCAGGTGGTACATAGTTAACTGTGAAGGGTGTGGGTGTGGGTGTGGGTGTGGGTGGATGTGGGTGTATCGGTTAAGGCAAAAGCCACACCCAAATCCACACCCACACCCTTCATCTATATTCGGTCTTAGATTCTCTATCGAATGGTTGGTACCATTTTCGATATGGGTTATCTGGCAAAACGTTTCACTTGCATCTGCCTGTAGGTATTAGTAATGCTCTATCTAGGTAACAAAAGTTGGCAAATCAACGATGAATCGAAAGCAAAGCCTTAAATTCTCACTGTCGACCCATATCCTCCACCGCACTCATGCCCACACCATTGATGATTAACGACAATGTGTTTTGACTAGCGTAATCAAAATTGAATACACTGGTACTTATTGTCATTTTGATTGAAAACGTAAAATTTTATTTTAATTCAAAAGAAATAGAATACATCTTTCTTATCTTTAGACTAGAAAATTCAAAAAAAGCGTTTTAATAGATGAAGATTTTTTTTAATGACGATGATTGTTTATATATGGATAGAGATCAAAATTAACAAACAACAAAATAATAAGCAAACAAAAAAAAGAAATGAATAGAAAAATATTAATGAAAAGTGTTATGGAAATTTTATAATGAATGACAAGAACATATGATATAGAAATAAAAGCATGAATATAATTGTTCACATATGGAACAGTTTTTCTATTTTATCTTTTATAACGTCAAAAATTGCTGATTGATCTTTTGAAACATGAGAAACTGATGATTCATCTGATTCGTTTGATTCATCTGATTGATTTGAGTCATCTGATGGATACCATGAATCCAGCTTTTTTATTAACTTCAATAATTTTGAATAATGTTTATTTGTACGTTGAGTATCTTTCCACAACTGCAATGATTTTAATGCTACTTCGTTAACATCTTGTAAATTTTTAAATGAATCAATACTTCGTTCGATATCAGCATTACTCATAGCCATTATAATATTTAATGCACATACTAAATCAAAAGTTCGTTCATAAAAATAATATGGGAACTTTTGGCCTTTTAATAATTTTGAATAAAAATCTAAAAATGATTCACTAGCATATCGAAGTGGACCTATTATTTCTATGCTGCCCCCCTTGTTATCCATATTAAATGCAAATGCAAAACCGAAATCAATTAATTTTATATGATTATTATCAGGATCTAACATTACATTTTGTGGACGTACATCACGATGAATAACACGACAATCATATAAATAATGAATTATATCAATAAGTTGTTTCGATTGTATCAATGATAATGATTCTATACATTGTAAGTTTTTTTCATAGAATAAATATTTATCTGAATAGAAACAATAAAAAATTTAGAAATAGTATAAAATATTATTTCAATCATAAGTAAATTGAGATGTAGTCTTGTATCGAAACAAATCACTTACGTAAAATATTCTTTTTATTAATTAGTTCATTTAAACTACGAACGAATAGTATAGATAGCTGCCTAATTACAATCTTAGATATGAACGAAAGTGAAAGTCTTGAAAATTACTCTAAGACATTTAGTTTTCTTTTATCCATAAGTGAGCTGAGTTCTTTATTAGAAAGATCATAACAGTAACTCGATTACCTGATACAATTCTCAAGATTCGATACGTTTTAGTTGAGTTTAGACTGAAAGCAAGTTTGTTCTAGTAAACATCATTTTCAAAAATTTTGCTTTGTGTTATCTATCTCGTTTTTCAAACAATAGTTTTTAAATCTTTAAACTGATCGATGTAACGTTAACATTTTACAAAAATAATTGAACAAAAATTTTACTAATTTAATTTAATTTAAATTCATTTAATTAAAAAGTCTTGTTTTGATTAGAAAGATAACGGGTTATTTAAAAATTCAACTTTTACGATGAGTTTCGTTAATATATAATACATATTTTTCTTGTAAACCTCTACTTCTATCTATTTATCCTCCATTTTCTTACATGGACATGAAAGACTAGAAATATACGAATAAAGATTTGGGCATATATACTTACGTATATACATTATTCCTATGTCATTTTGTTGTAATTCTCATACTTATATCCTTAACCTTAGTGCGTTCCATCTATATCTTTAGTCATATAACTTCATATCTATCAAATTACGTATATACGCTACACATTTATCCTATTGATATATATCAATATTCTTATTTCTATGGGGTTGCCAACATACTCTTCTATATATACTGTTACTCTGAGACCAGAAACATTTGTTCAAAAATAAAACTTTTAATGATCCAGTGAAAATTCATATAGATTTTTGTAAAGCTTTTTCTTGACAAAACTATTCGGCATTTCTATTTTGAAGCTTGATAATAAGAAATCATATGAAAAGAAAACGAGACGGTGATAAAAATAAAGTACAAATTGTTGTCTACATCACGTCTGAAGAATATTTGATGAAAATGAAAGAATTATGATCGTTCGGAGCATCTTTTTGTTTTTGAATAAATATTATTCATTAGAACTACTATAGAGAAAAAGACAAACATTTAGCAAAACCGATTCAATTAAGTTTCTATTGACATATCAATTTATCTATAGCTTCTAAAGACAATAACTAATGTCATATATTTCAATCAGACTAAATTTATTTATATCTGTGTTTTTTCTTACACAACTATTCCTTTATTTCTCAATATTAAAATAGATTCTACTGCATATCACTTATAAAATTCATTTCTACAACATGATCTATTTAAATAGTATAATTTTGAATCTAATACTTGGAAATTTTAGCAGAGTTTATTTCCTACAGCTGTATTTTTACTCGAAATATTTTACTACAAACAAAAGACTACTGCTCATGAACACGTTTACACAATAGTTTTAGATGATGTTTTAAACTAAAAACAACGTACCGTCGATAAAGTAACGTTACTAAACGTATTATAAATAAATACCAATGTATTTGCACATGTTGAAAATAAAAACTAACGCGTTTAACCACAAAAATGCCATGTTTTTCTGTGAAAACTGACTTTGAAGTACTAATTCTTACTATCTGTTGTTCTTGAGTAGTAATAACATGTTTTATCGAGCTTTCACTTATCTTCTAAGGAAAAAAAAGAAAAAATGACCTCTTTTTTTTAACTAATCTTATTTGAAATGATGATTCTTTTGTGCTTTTTTACAACAAATATTTTTATTAATCATCATTGTCCTTGTTTAAGATGTTGCTTCAATCTATATGTATTTTCATCTAAGACAAAACCTTATAGTTTTATGTTGAAATTACAACACATCAAATATAGTCTGAATATTTTATATCTTACAATTATATAAAATATATGCACATGAAAATAAATTTGCATAATTAGTCTTATTTACCATGCTTTATATACTTTTAAAAGATCTAAAAGCCAAAACTAACTCTTATACTCAATCGATTGTATTATTCTGATATTTCTCTTCTTACTCTTTTAATATATCACCAAGATAAAAAAGCATGTTTCATTCGAAGTCGCCCTATTCACACAAATTATATTGAAGAATTATAAATTCAACATTATTTTTTACGATAGACTTCGAATCTGTAGAAAAAGTGCAGAAAAAGTCAAAAGACAAATATCTTACCTGAAGACAATGGATATAAAATATCTTGAAAAAATAAATGAAATTTATTTAAATCATTAAATTCTTTTAATTTTTTGTCATTTTAACTTCTTGCAGAAAACATTCTGAATATTCACTTTCTTTTAATATTTTCATTACATGATGTGGTGAATCTTCAATTGAATGATTATTTTCATTTTTTTTAATAAATAAACCATTGATGTTAAACCAATGCCTAATTTTTTTATTATCATATATCGATCACCAAGTAAATCATCATTTGGATCTATATTTAATCTTGTATATTGATAAAAGTTAATATTCATTGTTAAAAAATTTGTAAATATTTTCCATGTATCTTTATTAACACCTAATTTTCTTGTATATTCAGTTGTTGTTGTTGACTTCTCAATAGACAATAATGATTCTGACAAATAAGTAAACATTTCTAATTCTTGACTTTGAAAAGTTTCATATGAATCCGAATTAGATTTATTTTTCACATAAAAAAATTTGATGTGTGTATAATTACTAAGAAAACCATATATCGTTTCACGATGTTGTACTTCCAATATAATTTTCAAATATAGTAATATTTCTTCAATCATTGAATTTACGGATAAAGAAACATATGGAGATATTAAATTACCAAGACAAACGACAAAATCTTCTAAACATGGTTTTTCTTGATCAATATTGATATTTATATTTTTATGTATAAATGTACAATGAGGATTAAACTTATCTTTTAAATAATATGAAAAAGATGTATTTAAATATTTCAATGATGTAGAATTATTCAATGTATTTAATAAATTAACAATTAATTGATCAAATCCTTTTTGAATTTCTTCTTCATTTAATTTAGGATATGATGAAAATTGATTTGAATAATGTTCAATATAATTTAATATATTATCATTAAAATAATTATTATCCTTTAATATTACCTCCATGTCGAATGATTGCAAATCATCATGTATATCGATATAGTAACAGTCATTATGAAATTTAAATACCTTAAGGCGCTTTTGAGTTGATGATGAATCGGATTCGATTTCTAACTTCCGTGGTTTTCGTTGGCAAGCTTCATGTATTTGTTGCCGTTTTGCTTCTTCGATTTGTCTCTTCAATTCATTTGTACGTTTTATTATTTCAAGTTGATGATCCAATCTTTCATTTATATGTTTATGTATTGCAAGTTCACGTTCCAATGTTTCCGTTTCACGATTGATTTTTTTATTTTCATATTGATGTATTGCTTGTTCGATTTGTTGCATATCCTGAGCTTCATGTTTCATTTTTTCGATTTCATCTCGATGTTTTGTTTCCTCGATCAGCTGAATTTCTTCAGATTCACGTTTTATGTTTTTGATTTCATCATCAAGTTGTTTGATTACTTGTTGTGTTTTTTCTTCCTCATCAAGTAGTTTTTCTATCAATTGTTGTACAGTTTCTTGTTCACCATCATTTGTAGCCATAGTTGTATAATTTTTTTTTTAATTTTTATCTACAAACAAAACAGAAAAGATATTTCATAAACTGAAATCAAGAAGAAGACACAGTCGAGTGATCGTAGTCAGGCAAGACCGAATGGCGAAGTGACAAATAATGTGTAGGTTAATTGATATATAATTCAAAACTGACGATAGTTATATATGATCATTGAAAAGAAAAGAATCAGTCGAACGGCTAACTTCAGCCGACTAATTTTGCCCTGAATAGTCGAAAACAATGAATGATATTAGATAGTGTGACAATCAATGGATACAAAAAACATTATAGAGGTATAAACAAATTATTAAATGTCTTATATGACGTTCGAAATAAGGCTTCGATCTATTTATTATTATACAGAACATACTGATCTGATGTACTAACTGTGAGGAAATTCAAATAATAGATGAAAATACCATATGCTAATTTCTAACCAATCATAGATATGTCGTAAAGTGTGGATGTGAGTATAAGTCTTTCCCTTGCCTACACACCAACATCCTCTTCCAAATATTTGTAAAACGAAAATTTTCTTTTTTTTTCTGGTACAATAATTAGATCGACACTGTGGATCTTGTATATTTGTATAACGTTGGCATAAATTTTAAAAAAACGATACACTCATTGACCAAATGTTTCACTGAAATCTGAAGACCTTGATGGCTTTTTATATTTTAAAGAAATGATTTTCTAATTTAACGAAAAACTGTTTCCGCACTAATTAGTAAAATTCATGGAGTGTTGAAAAATGAATATAATCTTTAGCCTTTCATTTCTTTATTTGTATCCCTCATTGATGTTCAACAATGATGGAATCTGAAAAAAAAATAAAACGCATAATCTATCTTTCTTTTTAGATAAAATAATAAATAGAATGGAAACACTATCGAATGAAAAACTTCTTCATATCTTTTCTTATCTTACATGGTTTGATATATTAACATATTTTTGATCATTAAATATTCGGTTCAATACTCTTGTATGTTCAGCTCTTTCACTAAGTGACAATTTATTAAATAATGGTCTTCTTATTAAACAAAGTTTATCTTATAATAAATTTTCTTCAATATTATTTCCATTGATTTTAAATTCATCATCTCTTTCTTCTTCTATTCAACGTATTCGTTTTGATGAAACAAATTCAATGGCTTGTGATCTTAGTGATGAATTGTTGTTTAATGATTAAAAAAATCTTTGTTTTCCTAATCTTAAATCACTTATTCTGACTCGATGTATATCAATTGAATCATTAGTTCTAAGTTTATCTTATCTTATTGAACATCAATTCGATAAACTTACATTAATATTTGATCAGCAAATGTTCAAACGAGTTTTTTATGAAAATGAACATTCGTCAATAGGTTCTGATATAGATAATCAATCTTTTATTTGATAGATTCTCTCAAAAATAAAACAAGATTTATCCTTGATTGAGATCATTTATATTTCATATAAATCCATCCGCTAAAAAATTCAGCGTAAAAATGTCGGTTTCGAATTCATCTAGTTAGAATTTTAGCTTCCAAAGAGAAAACACCACAAATATCTCTTCCACTGTCCATATCAAGTGGATGTCTGATAAGAAATCAATGAAACGCTTAACACTGATTAGAATCACTTAGGAACGAATATGCAAAGAATCTATTCATTTAGAAGGTAAATGGCGGTAGTCTGAGAGCTCCGGTTAAGAAGAACAAAAATCTTCTTAGAACTAATAATTAGTCGCTTATATATATATTCTATAATCGATACTAATCTTAATATGTTAAATTCAATCTCTATGAAGAGTGAGCATTTCTAGATTTGATCATCTTCATAATAAATATTTATGTTTAAGAATGTTGAAATCTATTACCATAATCGGATAACTGGACATCTTTAGAAAGACTTAATTTGTGCTACAAATTAAAAATTGATTCTCTAATTTTGACACAAAAACAATCTTCTGGGATGATAAGTCTCTTCTAAGATGAGTTGTCTCATCAAATAGAATCTATTGAAACAAGGAAAAATCTAAACTGATTCGTATTCAGAATACTTTGTTGCTGACTTATGAATCAAGATATATGGGACTGGATCAGAACCGAGACAACGAGGAAAAAAAGTTGTTCGAACCAAAACTATACATTGCAGTCAGTTGATCTGCGGTTTTGAGTGAACTATAATATAAATCATACCGATCAAAACAAAAATCGGAAGAACGAACCAAAAGAAGTGACATTCATTGAGCGAATAGATCAAAGAACGAATATTTGAGAATGTTCAAGATTTTATACGAACAGATTCAGAAACAGGTGTGGATTGGGGTTTATAATTTATTTATTATAATAAAATACCGACACCCACACCCACCCACTCACACCTCACACCCTCAAACACTGAACGATCAGATACATGGACAGCACTCTAAGGATTTTAAGCTTTTTGATTTCACGGTAAATCAGTTTTATCTTCAGCGAAATTCGTTTTCTTTTTAAGAAACCCAAGGCTTCTCCGAGTGCGATCCTCCGTCCGCATATCTCCATTGATTGGCTGGCTTACATTATTATTGTTTTTTGTTCCATTTTATTTCAATGAATTCGAAAACAAACAATTACAATTAACTAATTAATTAAGTCAAAATTAGTTAATCATGCCAATTAATGTCTTTTTTTGGTGTTTATATTGTAGTTTTTATTCTCAATTGAATTCGATATCGAATTTTTGAACTCGATGGTTTCCCAAATCGGTGACATAGAGATTACCGTGTTTATCGAATGACAAACCGTAGGGCATATTGAGTTGGTTTGACGCTTGTCCATTGCCGTTTCCACCAACTACGATGCTACCTTCTGTGGCTCCTTTTGTCCAACGCATGATTCGACCATTTCCGAGATCAGCCACATAGACAGTACCCAATTGATCGACAAGTATTCCTTCATTATATACCATGCGCATAAGCTGAGGTCCTTTTCCATTGCCACCAGCCACGATAATGCGTCCTTCTACACCTTCCACCCATTTCGTCACACGTGATTGTCCGTGCTCAGAGACATACACTGCATGATCTTTATCGACGACAATGTATTGTGGTTCAAAGAGTTGATTGGGATCATGTCCACTTCCATGACCACCTGCAACTACGGTTCCTTGAGATTCCCCTCGTCGATATCGTCTTACTTCAGAGTTTTCATTGTCAATGACATAGAGAGATCCATCGTCGTGCATTGTCAAACCTCTACAAAAAATGTTAGAGATGATGGTTTCTCCACTTATTCCATTTCGACGAGGCCATCGAACCACTCTTTTATTGCCTTGGTCGCAGATAATGAGACTATCGCTTTCTTTGTCGACGATCACATCAAATGGTTGATATAATTGATTTGCATTACTTCCCATTCCATTTCCACCAGCAACTACTCGGCCACTCGTCGCACCTGATTTCCATTCCACAATACGATGATTCTCTCTATCAGCCACATAGATCGTTTGTTCATCATCAACATACAAGCCCGATGGCATCGAGAGTTGATTGATTCCAGCGCCTTTACCATTTCCTCCAGCTACAGTGACACCGTTCGGTTTCCATCGAGCATTTTGGTGAATATCAATTAAACGTTCACCTAATGCATAGCCTAGAACTGAACGGAATGAAAAAAAAGGAATAAGAATCAAATAAATAATAGATTTCTAAGATTTAAAAAACAATAGAAGAGCACATCACTGATGTCAGTTATTCATTAATACGATCATTGTTCTTAATTTTTTGCGAATAAATAAGCAAAAAATATATTACTTCATTAATAGAAAAGTTTCTTCGAGGAAAAACAACTGATATTTCTGATTACTTTTAGTCGTCTTCAAATTTAAAAATAAATGAGAAAAATCCTAAAAATGAATGGATTAATCCATGAAAATCGGTAGTTTTTGACTTCCATCATTGAAAATATCAATCATTTCATAGAAGTATGCGGTGATTTGTAAAAGACGATCTGTGATATAACGGAGTTAGGACTAAAAACAATGAACCTAGTTGCATTACACTGAGGGTGTGAGTGTAGATGTTTGTAAATATGCGAATCACTTCGGTTACTAATTATAATAACGAATACATTACAGGCTTGATCTCAAGTTGCTATCGTTTTATAATCGAAAGCAATTTAAACCTAGCTAAGAGAAGCACAGCACCCTGCCCTGATAATAATATGGTCACATTCTATTCAGCTGATGTATGTTTGTGTGTTGCAATTATGGGAATATTCGGTTTTGTAGGTTTTATGAAAAGCTCATGAATGATAAAAATTGGAACAGGGTGCCGGTCAGAAGCAGCGTTTCTAATGGAAATCTAAAATACAATGTACTGTACACTCTATTTTCTTAAAACAAAATGTATGTGTACACTTTATTTTTAAATGGTAAGT